TGAAAATATTTAACCATAGAGTTCTTATAACTATCCTGTCAAAACAAATATCTTCATTCCATTTTTTTACAGTGAAGGTATCAACACAATCCTGCTAAGAATGCCTATTCATCTAAATCATCACCCACATCACTGAAGGTATTACCTGGATATAGCTGGTAAGAGCCACTGTGGTGCCATTTAACCAAATACTTCAAACCATTCACTGAAAACCATCCTTCTGTTTCCATAGCTAATGCAGCTCCAACATCCTACAGTATCCTTGATAGCGGTCGTCTGAACAGTGTGAAACACTGTTCTTCTGTAACACTTCTCACTGTTTTACTGCATTTTCCTGAAATGGCTCTTCAACAAATTATTTTTTCCCAGTTGAATATATATTTCTTCTTATATTTACAAGAGACAACCTCAATATTCTTAACACAAAGAATGATAAAATGCTACATAAATAATTTAAAGAAAGGACCTTTAACTGCGGTTGCTGAACAAACATGAATTATTCAGATTACACTGGAAGTAGCTGCCCTCAGACAGCAACAAAATAAAACACAAAGATCAATGCTGCTCAAAACTCTTTTCATATTAGTCAACATATGGAATAACACTATGAATCTGCTTTGGGCTTTCTGTTGCATGCACTACGGACGCTGCCTCATTTTCATCGTATCCTGTGATGGCCCACAGACCAGGGCAAGGGTTACTTCATGCCATAATGTTTTGAGTTGTGCCCCTTGCCTAATCATGAATCATTTACAGTATTACCCCCCTCTTTCCAGAAAAGCAAGAAGCTGATCTAGTTCCAGCAGATAGCAGAGGGCATTTGTACAATAGCAAGTTGCTCTAATGGAAATGCAAGGAGTATGTTCTTGCTTTCCTTACTGGTCTATTTTGGGTCACAGAATTCTGTTTTGGAAATGTAAATCATTTTCTGCCTTATTTAATCTGTTAAAATTGTTTATTTTGCACTGTTGCTGGAATATTGCTGGAATGTCGCTGGAATGACATTTCGGTGCCAGGTCAAAACCTTCCTGTTCCAGAAGGCTTTTAATTGAAATAACATCAACTGTGGGTCCTGATGGCAATTTTAATTGTATTTTAATCATTTTATCTTTTATTGTATTTTAATTGAATTTTAATTGTTGTAAGCCACCCAGAGACCTTTGGGTAGAGTGGGCGGCATACAAGTTAAACAATTTTGAATCTTTTTGCTGTTACCTGTGGCATATTCACACACCAATCCATCAAGCAAATAAAAGTTCACAAACAATTTTTGAAGGATCAATCAGAAGAAAGAAAAGGGGGAAATGTGATTCTGGTCTGTTTGAACACAGACAGTGAGGATTACAAGATGCCTATCACCAAGATGTATAGAAATCAGAATCAAAGGCTAACACTAAATCTCAAAGGCTAAGTGAGTTTTTGAATAAAATTTCTTCATGACCAGTGTGTGAGACTGGAAGCAGGGATGCCTCCCTCCAAAATTTTAGAGGGCTCGTCTGGCGGGGGTGGGGTGGTTGGTGACATTTATCTCCTCCTGCCCTTTCACATTCCCCCCCCATAGAAGTGCTAGTAGACACAAACTCTTCTGACCACATGGAACATAATATACAATGATACATCTGAACAACTTTTAAGACTGTAACAAAGAGATGGGTGTACAACTACTACCATCTAAGCCAGTTATCAATATTTGTCTCTCTAAAGGTGATGGTCAATTGGTCTACCACTCTTATTATTATATAAATATGTATACAGCATTTGGCATACTGAAAGTAGTTATCTTAGAGGAGTTGTAAGGAAAACCCATAACATAACTGTCATATGTAGAATGGGAGCAGAGTAAAGGGTTCTCTAAGATCACATTGTGCTTTCATGGCCAAGGCAAAATAGAATGAGACTTTCTGATATACAGCTAAATCTCTCGGTGCACAATCCTATACACCAGAAAAGCAAAACCTTTTTTTAAATCCTGGGAGCTCAATTGCTTCTCCCCCTCTGACGGATTTAGTAGGAGGCCCAAACAATACTAAACTGTCCTACCCATAAACATAGGGACAGTTCCAAGCAAGCAGTGACTGTGGGTGCATTCTCTTCTGCTTCACAGCCAATACAGTATATGTGGAGAAAAGCACAACATTGAGTTGGAAAGACATCTCTTTTTCTTGTTTCTCTTCTCCCAGGCTCAGAATTCAACCTGGAATATTCTAGTTGAATTCTAGAGCCAGATAGATGTCCTTGAAATCCAAAATCCCATTTCTACTGTGCTCTGGCACTGGTGGCACAGCAAGCAGCATCTCAGAGGAATCTCTCCTATGATTTTCTATCACATACTGTAGCCAACAACAGAATTATAACAGGGAAAAGGCAGAGAGATAGCAGAAGTGAGAGAACAAAACTTAAGATAACATCATCACTCACTGGAGATAAAGACAGTTGCACCCCCTCATCCTTCCACTGGAAAATGCTGCCAATAAAATAATTACCTTGAATCTGCAAAAAGACTTAGTGCATGGCACAGAACCTGCAAAACCAGGCTGAGGTTATTTTTCTTGCTGCAAATAAGTGAGGAGCTTTCTCTGGTGACTATTATAGGAAGTTCCCTACTGAATAAAGGGTGGAGGGTGGTGGTAGACCATGCCACACCAAGTACCCTTAGAAGATGGGCTTCTATTCAGTCTAGCCAATTTTCCTACAACCCTATTCCAGTGAATGGAGTATTGTTTTTATGCACTGGAATAGAATGGAAAGGGGAGTATGGCTTTCGGAAGAACAGTTGGACTGCTAGGGCACTTGGCAGGTCTAGATTTCTCTCCTATTTTTTGGCAGCTTCCCCCAACCCAGCTCTAACAGCTTCATTCACTGGCAAATAGAGAAAAGAGAGGAGGGGGAGAAGGAGGAGGGAAGGATAAACAAAGAGATGGGGGAGGGAAGAATGGGGGCAGAAGAGCCAAAGAGGCAGAACAGAGATTTGAAAGCAAGACAGAGAGGAAAGAGGCCCACACATGCCTCCCCCCTGTGTGACACACACACACACACACACACACACACACAGAGAGAGAGAGAGAGAGAGCATGAATTCTTATGTGTTATCAATCACCTCTGACTTATGGCTACCTTTTGAATGAGTGATCTCCAAAATGTCCTGTCTTCAACAACCCTGCTCAGCTCTTGCAAACTGAAGCCATCTTGTATTTGGTCTTCCTCTTTTCCTGCTGCCTTCCACCTTTCCTAGCATTACTGTCTTTTCCAGAGAAACCTGTCTTTTCATTATGTACCCAAAGTAGAACAGCCCCAGTTTCATCATTTTTGCCTTCAGTGATAGGCATGATTTTATCTAGGACCCACTTGTTTGTCTTTCTGGCAATTCAGGATATCCCCAAGCCTCTCCAGCACCATATTTCAATCAACTCATGATCTCATGCACAAATACATATATACAAACATGCAGTTCAGTTTGTGTCATTGTCCAATGAGTTATTTAAATATTCTGGCAGTGACTACATGACTACAGTGGTTGGGGACACTTGTGTGGCATAATTTGGTCTAGCTGCCATAAAATTTAAAATATATCTATATCTGCCAAGCCTACATGATGGCACCAGAGATATACTCGTAACTATCAACAAGATCCCTGCCATAATTAGCTGCCAGAGGCATATACTGAACAATTTTTCTGACCTAGATGCCAACCCTAAATGTTATTCTTCTTCAGAAATTGAGACAATCATAGGAAATCAGACTCAGCACACCTATCTGCTTGAATGGACTATTCACAGTCATCCATGCCCTAGTAACATCTGGATTAGCCTATAATGCATTATATATGGAGTTTGCCTTTCAATACTGACATAATTAGTGCAAAATACAGCACAGTAGAATACAAAGACTGATCTGGCACAGGCACATATCTCATGAGTATTTTAAGAGCCCCAGTGTCTCCCAGTCCTTTATGGATACAATTCACTCTGTTAGTTCTTACTTACATAGCTTAGGATCTGAATAACTGAATGAATGCTTAATCTCTAGACATACAAACTTTGTATTTGTAACCCAGCTCCCGTGTCTATTAATCTCACATCAACTGACACTGTTATCATCATCATCACCATGGATCCTCGAGTCCAGCTCTTGTAAAGGAGGCCATGTGGGGAATTGAATTCCCAACCTCTGGCTCTGCAGCCAAACACCTAAACTACGGAGCTATCCAGCAGTCATGGATGGTTGCCCATGATCAAAATGGAGATTCAGAATTTATCACTTTTTAATGGCTTTTCTTATTTGCAGAAAAACTAGGGGCCATTCAGGGTGAAATCTAAATACTTGGTGAGTCCTGCTGGCGTGTCAGCAATCTCTCCCCCTTTATGCTTCTAAGTCAAGCATGATAACTACACTAGTCTAACATGGAGCTTTCCCTGCTCTCCTACATCTTATAATATTGTTCTTGACAAATAGATGTTTTTATCTGAAAAGTTGCACAGAGTTTTTTTTGCAGTTCTAGCTGGTCTCATGAACATATCACCATAGCAGGAATTTTAGAATTTCACCTACAGCCAAAACCACCTTTTTCTGTGTACAGATTTTCTTGCAGATCCCCTCTCTGTGGTGGAGACAAGAGTCTGAGTTATGTCAATGGGTAGGTCTGTGCATCTGCCACCAACAGTATCAGAATCTAACACAAGGATGGGCCATCATATTTGATCTTTATCTTAACAGGCATTACCTTTCTGAGAACATAGTGGTTCATCTGTAATTGGGATAATGTTTCTTAGATCACTGCTTTTTTAAAAAAGAAACAATCTCCTATTCAAGTAACTAACATTGAAGTAACACTGAGTTTAAAAACCAGTCTGGCACATTTTGTTCTGTAAGATGAAGCTTGCAGTGTATAACAAACATGGATTTACCCTTCTGTGCTGAATTCAGCATTCATTACTACTGAAGCTAATTAAGAAACATCAGTTATTTTTATACACCAATTTTCCCTAACATTTTTCGCTTACCTCCATCGGACACAGCTGCAGACTGAAAAGAAAGAGAAAGAGATGATCAGCCACAAATGAAAACTTAAATGTTGAGAAATGTTTGAGCCAGTTTTTTGTTTTTTTGGTTTTCCCTTTCTACACCCTCCTAAACAGTTTATTTATTCAATTCAAACTCTTTAATAGCCAAAAAATAGAGTTCTAATTCATTAGAAAAAGAAGTGAAGTTTTGATTTCATAGCATTACTTGCATGTATACGTTTCAGTAACAGGCTCTTCAACATGGGACCTTTGTACTCCTTTAAATTCCCCATTAAATCCTGATCTTAATGGGAGTTTCTCCCCAACATCCAGATGGTATTCCTCTTATCCTGGTGTGTACAGACATTAACAGTTTGATTCCCCATCTCAGGCTTCATGCAAACCATTTTACAACATGTTGTTATGTGCCATCAAGTTGTTCCAGACTTATTCATAAATTGGTGACCTTCAAAAGGTCTGGTTGTTAACAGCCCTTCTCATTTCTTGCACTTTCAAGACAGTGGCCTCGACTCAATCCATCTCTTATCCGGTCTTCCTCTTTCCTCATTGCCTTCAACATTTCCTAGCATTGTTGTCTTTTCCAGTGAATCTTGTCTTCTCATGATTTTCCAGTGAATCTCATCTGGACGTGAGAAGATGTACAGGACCCTCAGTTTAATTACTTTTGCTTCTAGGGAGAGTTCTGGCTTGATCTGATTTAGATTCCACTTATTTGTCTTTCAAGCAGTCCACAGTATCTGTAAAGCTCTCCTCCAACACCACTTTTCAAATATGGGGGAGCTGCATAGATCTTGTAACCAAATTTGAATGCAAATTCCAACAAGCCCTGACAAATCTCACACTTTAATGACAAATAGATGGACAGATCAAGACAACACAACTGTGCCATCTGCAAAACTTATAACATTAAAAATTGCATAATGTTCCAAGTGCATCTATAGCTTCTCAATGTCCGTTTGTGTTCCATAACTTGGGGAGTTGAAATGATTTTGCCTTCAATTTGAATATAATAGAATCATATAATAAAATAAAATAACTGTAGAGGTCGAAGGGACCTAAGAATCAATTAGCACAGCCACAACCCAAAGAAGGAAATTTACATCTAAAGTATTTCTGACAATTCCACATCTAACCTCTGTTTAGAATCCTGCAATAAAGCAGATTCCACAACCCTCTGAGGCATTCCACTCAATTCTTTTAAACTTCTCCTGAAGCGGAGGCTCCAATACTTTGGCCATCTCATGAGAAGAGAAGACTCCCTGGAAAAGCCCCTGATGTTTGGAAAGTGTGAAGGCAAGAGGAGATGGGGACGACAGAGGACGAGATGGTTGGACAGTGTCATCGAAGTGACCAACATGAATTTGACGAAACTCCAGGAGGCAGTGGAAGACAGGAGGTCCTGGTGTGCTCTGGTCCATGGGGTCATGAAGAGTTGGACACAACTTAATAACTAAACAACAACAATAAGCTATATTTCCTATTTTATTTAACAGAGATGGTGTTATTGGAAGGGTGTGGGAGAGGCTGTGACCTTCTGAAACAGAAACTCCTTATGTGTTACTCACAACTCCCCTAGTCACAAACCAATTATCATATATCCAAAAAGAAGCACATACTCCATCCTGTTTGCCAGGAACCTCTGGCATACTAGGCAGGGCCTCTGGTATTCTGCACTTCAATGCACAGTACATGCCTTTCCAGCAGCACCACTCTGGATATGAAACATTTTAGGAGGAAATAATGCTAAGATTGTTGCCCAGAGCCAATCAGAAAAGGGTAGCAGATGGTGCATACATGTTGTGCTTTTCATTAGCCCCTTCTCTCCTATGAATTCTTTCCTGACCGGTGTAGTCATGATGACAGGAAGGTTTTTTGTTTCTCTCACTCCACTCCCTTACTGCCTTTGGGTGTGAGAGAAAATCATAATTTTACTGATGGAAAAGCAGACCTTTTTTAGACTATAACTCTCAAAAAAACCTCAACCAGCATGGCCATTAGAAGAGAGAGTAGGGGCAACTCATCTGAATCCAGGCTAGACACCAAGTATTTCTTTTGTGGCTTTTGTTGGTTATCATAGTGTCATTGTGCATTCCTCTTTTATTGATTTTGTTTCCAATAAAAAAAACCTCTTAAAAGCATTACTGTTATTCTAAAAACATACCACCTCACACTCAACTTTGCAGGTATGCTTTCCCAGTGTCCTCTTTAGCACCAGGTTGCTGCTGAATCCCAAGGAATTCTGTGTTTCTCTGACGATAGTAGTAGTAATATTAGCAGAAGCAGCAGTAATAGCAGCATAGTTCAATGAAAAGGAATACCTGACTGCAGTCAGAGGTTAGGAGAGTGATTCCCCACTGTGCCTTGCAGAGAAGAGCCAGCCTGTGTGACCATGGGAAAGCTACATAATCCCAGAGTACTCCAGAAGAAAGGAATAGTAAACCACTTTTGAGCACTTTATATCCAGAAAACACTGGGAATCGATTTGTTATTCTGTACCGTCAGGTTGCAACCAACTTACAGTGACCCTAACAGGGCTTTCAAGGTAAATGAGGTATTTTAGGAGTGGTTTTACCAATTCTACTTCCCCAGTGAGTTTCCACAGCTGAGCGGAGATTCAAACTCTGTTTTCCAGAGTCCTAATCCGTCACTCTATCCACTACACTACATTAAGAATCTGGAATTAACTTGATACCCTGTTTCCCCGAAAATAAGACCTAACCTGAAAATAAGCCACAGTATGATTTTTCAGGATGTTCGTAATATAAGCTGTACCCCCAAAATAAGCCCCAGTTAAGTGAAACCCCGCCCTCCACCATTGTGCAGCACCCAGAAGAAGATGACAGGACTGTATTTGAATAAACATAGATTGTTGTACACAAAAAAACCATCCCTGAAAATAAGCCCTAATGCGTTTTTTGGAGCAAAAATTAATATAACACCCTCTCTTATTTTCGGGGAAAGACGGTAGCATCCAATTATTATTACTAACTGTACCAGTACTAGAGTATTAATAATAGAGTATACTTCAGATGTGATTCCCAGTGTGGAAGAGGGTAGTTACAGAGTTATATTCAAATAAACAGGTATATTTTGGAGTATGATTCCAATATTTTTGCCAACAACCCTAACTATATTCAGCGTTGTTATTATTTGACAGCTGGATACTGTCAAAATAAACTGAAACATGCAGCATTTTGCACAGGCACTTTTCAGCCCCCCCTTCTGGCATCACCTCCCACACCTCCTAAGAGGCACCATACTCCTAAGGGCCCTCTCAATCAATATAACACAAGGCACCCTCTCATGTGAGCCTAATTCTAACACTTGATTTTTAAAAGTACTGTTTTCCAGAAAGAAAGAGCATTTATGATGCATACGCAAAATTTTAATTCTAAAGTTTAACATTTAAGACACACTATCTTTCTTTAATCTGATAAGAAAACAGCCTTGAAATGATGGAAATTTAAGTGTGAAACAGGATTATCATTATGAAATGAAGAAGTTTAAACAAATGTCTTCAGTTTTTCACATAGAATTTCAATCTAATTTTCTGTCCCATATATCACTATATAAATTTTATTCTGCAATATTTTTGGGGAGACAGATAGATATCAGTAGCAACCATTCCTTATTGAGTTCTGCATAGCTTTATTTTAAAAACCAAAATTATAGTAAAGTGATTTTAAGAAATAATTTATGGCAAATGAGAACAGAATAATAATTCCTTATATTTCACTCTTTGAACATAATTTAATAATATCTCTTTACTTCAGAATGACATTTTAATTGTTTTCTTTTCACTTCCACTTTACTTACCTTCATGAAAACTGCTGCATAGAAACGAAAAAGAATACTAAGGTGGTGGTAGGGAGGTTATAGGATATTGGCTTCAAAAGAAACCAGAGTTAAATCTTAAAGCTGTTAAATATTTTGCCACCAAAATATAAATGCAAATGCAATTTATTTACAATAAACAATAAATATTCATTCTGAACCATTTACAATTGATTATTATGATCTATTTTCATTTATTAAAATGTTTTATAAAGTTAATATTCCACTAAAATGTGATGTGCAGAACTGAGAGTTTACAGAATAATTGCTATGTCTGTCACAATCATCACATACTTCTCCAAATTGTATTTATTTTTCATTTTAAAAAATCATTTAAAATTAAAAGTTTCTGAACTCTAATATGAGAGAATTTAATCTATAATCTGGAATTCTGGTTTCTAATTTCTAATTGTCACCTCTTTCTTTCTTTTTTAAAAATCACATTGCTTACCTGTTCATCATAAGAAAAAGCAGTAATTTTTGCCAAAATGACCTTTCCCAAATTCATCTTTACTATAAATGGAGGATCATTGCAGTAGCTTCTTGAGAGCTAAAATACACCATCCAACACTGCGCACTGCCTGAACAAAATGCCTATAAAAAGTTTAAAGGCATTTCACATGTTCTATTTTACTCCCTTTATGTTACCAATGGCAACCAGCTCCTGCAAAAAGCTCCAGTTCACCATGGATCAGATTGTGCCTTGGTTATCTCACATATAACAGTTAGTTTAGGAAAACACAACAGGGAAATTTAACAAATCTTCTGTAGCAAATAATATAACAAATTTTATCCAATTCTGAGTGATCTGTGCAAAAACAGTAATGTAAATTGGTTTATTTGTCTGCCATGACATTGCAGGATGGCAAAAAGTTGTGTATCAGGTGTACTGGGTGTATAATTTAGCTTGTAGAACACCTCAGAATTCCTTTTTAAAAGTAGGCTTCTAGTCCTCATGGTTGCAAAAACATGCTTCACAATCTGTGGCATGTTTGTTGAATTCCAAGAAGTTTGTTGGGTTACTGAATAACTGAAGAAATGTTTTTATGCCTTTGCCCACTTTTTGCTTGTTTTACATAGGAGATTTTTCATAAAAATGTAAGCTTGCACATGCTAAGTGTTCTGCATCAATTGCCCAAATGTTTTGCCAATATTCAGGAAACTAATGGGTTTCATTGAGGTAAATGGACCTTCTTCTGGGGCAGATGGTAGACTGGGACTTCAGCTTAACATAGGCATAGGTATCTTAGAATAAAGAAGCACACACAGAGAGAAAGCATAGGGTGAAGGGGAAGAAGGAACTTGAAAAACCAAATTCTCTCTGTAAAAACCAGAGAGGGAGGGAGGGAGGGAGACTGGAATAGAAATAGAGAGACAAAAAGAAGATAGTGGGATAGAAAACGGCCACAGAGAAGCATTCTCCACAAACATTCCTTTCTTGGGTTGACAATGCATAAGAACCAAAAATATCTGCAGTGCAATCTTGTAAAAAAAAAAAAAAACTACTCAGAAGGAATACCTATGGAATTCAATAGGACTTAGTTCCATACATATAGTCTTGGAGCGTATACCACCTAATGATTTCTTCAAAGTAAATGTGAATGTACTGTATGTTATTAAAGTTATGTTTAGAGGAAATTCAATCCCTTAAAAATCACTAGCTTATGAATGTGGGATAGTGACAATTGTTTTGTGTTTGGGCGAAATGTGGTTAATTGATGAAAAAGGAGCTAGGTTCTGAAATTTTCTCCTGCTTGGTGTTTGTTTGTAAACATTAGTGAGCACAAGAAAGGATCTGGTAGAACATATTGACTGTTGCCAGTAATGTTGTCAACATTCAAGATGTATTTTGTTATGTAAAGCTTAGCATCCATTTTCTAGCTCTGTAAACATGGGCATAATATTGAAAAGCAGCACCAGATCATTTCCTGATTGTGGACACAGAGGCAATATTTTTGACAGCTAAACCTCAGGTTTTGTGAAGGACTGAATTCTTTTTAAAGAACATTCTAAGAATCCTTGAATGTGACACTATAAAATAAAGCACGCATATGCACATAAAGAAAAGAAGGATATTGTAGAGGTGCATCTGTAGCGCATGCTGATTAAAGCTACATTGCTACTGATTAAAGGTGATTTTTATGAGAAATTGCCAAATGAAGCCTTTAATCAGCTGCAGCTTGCTGGTGCTATGACATCAACACCAACCACTGCATGTGCAGAATTGCACAACAGGATTTCAGATACTATATCCAAAATGCTACTTTCCCTACCCACTCCAATGGCTGGACAGGAAGCAAATTTGTTTTTTTACAAATGTATACCATTTCTTTTAGCAGAAAATGTAGTACATCCTCTTTTTAGTGTCCCCCTTCTCAGTAAATCAACTTGTTTCTCATCCTCTCTCCTCCCCAAATCTGAGCTTTAGCTGTATTTAGCCCAGCAGTGCTGTTCCTCTCAACCAGTGATAACATGCTAAGATGTAACTTACTCCTCCTCTTTCTCTTTCCATTTGTTTCCCACATCTACATGCCTCCTTCCCCTTCTCAGTACAGCTGATGTTCACTGCTGGTGTTCAAGACACCCCCGTCTCTTTCATACCAGCTGAAATCACATGCTGAACATTTCAGTATCTACTGTGCCGAGAAAGGAAGTGGTGGGCAGGATCCCCCAAAAGCAGGAGGTGAACACCAGTTGCTGGTCAATACAGAACAAGGAGATGACTGGGTTCAAATTTATGGGATTCTTGAAGACAATCCCTGTTTACTGTTAGGAAGATGGTACTATAGTATAAGAAGCACTGGTCTCTTCTAGCCAGGCAATTCTTTGGACTAAATGGCCAGCCAAGTTAGGAACCAAATGCTAAAACCATGCATTGTGTTCCAGCAAGCAAGCAAGCAAACAATAACAGATTGTTAAGGAAATACACACACTTGAGCTTATCATATGGATATTGCTGTAACACCCAGGATTCATTAATTTTACTTCTCCTGGATTCTGCTAATGATATCTGAAGGAGATAACCTCCCCTTTCTCCTGCATTTCCTATATGCTCTAAAACAGTGGTCCCCAACCTTTTTGACACCAGGGACTGGTTTAGTTGAAGACCATTTTCCCCAAGGACCCTGGGGGGGGGGAGAATTGTGATGCAATAGGTTGTTAGAGGCTAGCTTTGAACTGAGCTCATAAAGGAAATGGCAAGCAGGTGAGCTGCAACTGAAGTTAGATCAGCAGTAGCTTAGAACCTACGGTAACAGGAGCGCAGGTTCCTATTAGATTCTAATGCTACAGGCACAGCTGATCGGAGGGGAGCGAAGCTCTGCCTCCTGTCAGATCAGCAGTGGCATTAGAACTTAATAAGAATGCGCTGACAGGAGATGGAGCTTGGCTCACCGCTCACCTCCTGCTCGCCACTTAACTGTCCCAGGGGTTGGGGACCCTGCTCTAAAAACCAAGGCTGGAAAACTTTCTGCATTAGGTTTCTGGCATCAAAGAAAGCAAAGAGGGAAGAGAGCCTCAGTTCCACCACTGGATGCAGTAGAATCCAGAGGTACTCAATTGGATATTGGCCCAGATATTTTCACTCAATAAAATATTAATACATATAAATGTGTGTGTCATGTACCATCAAGATGGAACCAACTTACAGAGATCCTTATAAGTGAATTTCCATGACTGAACAGGAATTTGATCTAATGTCTCCTGAATCCTAGCCCATCATTCTATCCACTATATCACACTGGATGTCCTGGTTAATATACATTCAATATAATTTCCGAATCTTAGAACTGCAGAGCTGGAGGAGATCCTATGGATTATTGAGTCCAGCCCCTGTCAAGAAGGGACAGCAGGGAATCAAACTCACAGTTCGCAACTCTAGCTCCATAGCCAGACACCTAAACCACTCAACTACTGGAGATACTATTTTATGAACAGGAGATTTTAATGGACAGATTTACTAAGTGATTGATCATAAATGACTGATTGAGTAAAACCTCACTATAAAACTGCACTCCTAACAAGCCATGAGATCACATGAAAAAGTGTGCCTCAAGATTTAATCCAAAGAAAAAACTACACATCACTGTATAATGAAAGCTTCTGCAAGTCAAGCTGAGAAAATTGAGGTGAAGTGTTTAGAATATGTCAATAGTGCAGCTTAGTTTGATAAACATTAATAAAAACTAAGCTCAGTTTAGTTCAGTGGAGTTGACTCCACAGTAGATATGTATAGGACTGTAACTACAGAATACTTGTCTTAACAAATCTGATTTATTTTTTGCCATTAATAAAACTGTGGTTTTGAAACTGGCAACAATAACTTAGCACATCTAAGAAACAGGCACTCATGACACTGTTTTCCTTAAACTACATGCTGAAAATACAAGAGTCTAACTCTGGGCTGGATTTTTTTATGACTTCAGAAAATCAACATTCCTTCTTTTCTAAAAAAATCTCTTGGTTTCAATTAAACACTTAAAAATAGTAACTGAAATCTCATTCCTTCTTTGAGGCATAAATGCAGCAAGTACCTAAACTAAAAGCAAATAATACCAGATGAGAAAGTAGATTACAAAAATTAACAGAGAATTTTTATAAACATCTTTTAGCATATCAAATTAGTGTTAGAAAAACAGAATTATAATAGGCACAGTATAGCACAAAATCATTTCACTACACAATAAAATTATTAAAATGCTAATTATCAATCTCTATTAACAAGAAAAAATAATCTTATTATATTAAATGTGATGAAATTCACATTATCTGAAAAAAACCCAGGTTTTCCAAGAAATACAGATCACACGGGCAACCAAATTTCTGCCCTTTAAACCACCTTCTTGAAGATGGCTCTATATACAATGTCCCTGATTTTTATGAGAAATAAGACATACTTACAGGATTAACACTGCCTCTTTTATCCATGTATAAGTAACTTTTATGGGATTTTCTCTCATTGTAAGTGATGTTTTCTGTCAAAAGGCTGCTACATATTCATTCCTCCTAGCTAGCTAAACAAATGAAGCAGAGTCCCTTCTTCCTTCCTTGTGGAGATCCACCCAGATTAAATACTAGTTTATGTATCTACCAATTTTTTTTAAAAAAAGGCAACTGGTACTCAGGATTTTAAACTGTTCCTCTCACAGTCTTTGCATAACAATGAACCATCTACAGAGTTAGCATATTAGTGGTTCATAGGTTCCATGTCAGATACCTATGAAAAACTCATCAAATGGCTTCTGAAATCTTTGTTCTCAAACTCTAACTAGCTCTAAAATCAAAGGTACTGTCTAAGGTTTGTTGCCATTTTCTCTGCTCCTCAGCATGTAGCTGCACGTTTCGTCAAGATTAAAATCACATGCAAGCCTATTGTGCTATGTGTTCCATCCCACTTGTCTGTTCCTTGCTTCTTTGAATAAGTTTACAGATTCTTTTTCCTGGTAGAACAGGATTCTCATAAATTTCAGCACCGCACCCACTTGCTTTAACTCACAAGCTTATGAAGTGCTGAGGACATTTTTGTTGTGTCATATAGAAGTCAAATGCCAACACACTGCTAAAAAATGTCTATGGCTGTCTCTGGGACTCATCAAATTATACAGAATCATTGCTCTAATGTGTCAACTAAGAAACAGCCTGTTCTTTCTTTCAGAAGTTTACTGTACTTTGAAAATGGGCTATATTACAGCCAGCATTCACCTGTGAAGACTGAACAGGAATTCTTTCCTATGTCTATAGTGTTGTATGTGTATCATATCTTGACAATAATGAATGCTATACATTTTTAAGGAAAGACTGGATTTAAGACTCACAAATTAGCATCTTGTATCATATATGAGAAAGACTCTTAAACTCAGCATAGAGATATCATGCTATAGCAATGTTTATTATGCATGCATTCAGTTGAAAGCTAATATATTAACATTTATTTTCAATTGATATTTGTTTTCAGCTGAGAACACAGTTGCTTTCCCTGGGCTAATATCTTAGCTTGATAACAACTGTTCAGCTTTCCTCATAGGAAACAATGAAAATTCGGTGGTGTAAGATTACCTCAAGATCATCAAGAGAACGAGTAATGCTGAATCTCTTCAGACGTCCAAATGATCTTCGAGCAGAAGCACGCTGGGGAAGTTGTACTAATCCCGAAGTAGGTCCAAATTTTGTACACTAAACAAACCACAAAATAGTTAATTTCATTTTTGTGTGTATTTTTTAACTGACCAAGATGTATTTATCTTTGTTATAATTGTAGATAGCTATTAGAGTTTAGTTTTAAAAAGATTTCACTGTTGAACTGTGCAGATCAGCACTTAAGCAAAGGGTTCACTCATCATTTATTTCACCACCTAAATCTTCAACACTGGTACTCAGATAATTTTGGTAAAACATGTTGATTTGAAATTCCAATAACTGATGCCAAACACATTATATTATTCTGTTAGCTATGAAGTAAAATATACAGAGTACAGTGGTGCCTCAATTTACGACCATAATCTGTTCCAGAAGATGGACGTACAGTGGTGCCTCGCTTGATGATGATAATGCATTCCGTTTAAATTGCTGTTAAGCGAAATCGTCGTCAAGCGAAATTAAAAGAGCCATTGAAACGCACTGAAAACCGTTCAATGCGTTCCATTGGGCGAAATACCTCATTGTGCAGCGAAGATCCTCCATAGGGCGGCCATTTTCCGGTGCAGTGAGGAATACATCCTAAAAACAGCGGGGAGCCATTTTGCACAGCGGGCAGCCATTCTGTGACCTGCCGATCAGCTGTTTGGAAATCCTCATAATGCAAAGAATCAGTTCCCAAAGCAGGGAACCGATCGTTGTGAAGCGAATTTTCCCCATAGGAACATTGTTTTGCGATCGCAATAGCGATCGAAAAAATCATTGTAAAGCAGATTCGTCGTTTAACGAGGTAATCGTTAAGCGAGGCATCACTGTAACTTGAAATGGTTGTAAGTCGAAGCACCATTTCCCATAGGAATGCATTGAAATGTAATTAATCCATTCCAGCCGAAGAAAAAAATTTACCAAAAAAAATGACTGCAAAGAAAAGCAATCAAGCATACAAGACCCATTCGAAATGCACAGAAAATAAACAGAGCAGATTGGAATGCACAGAGAACAAAGAGTGCAGGTTGGAAATGCAAAGAAAACGAAGGGAAAAGCAAGGGAAGCATGCAGGACCCATTGGAAATGGGGGGGGAACCCAAAAAAGCAACCAAATCCCCCAAGACCCATCGGAGATGGGGGGGAAAGCCAAAAAAACAAACCCCCAAGATCCATTGGAAATGGGGAACCCCCCCCAAAAAAGCAACCAAACCCCCCAAGACCCATCAGAAATGGGGAAAAAACCCAAAAAGCAACCAAACCCCCCAAGACCCATCAGGAATGGGGGGGAAAACAAACAACCCCCAAGACCCATCAGAAATGGGGGAAAAACCCAAAAAGCAACTAACTCCCCCAGACCCATCGAAAATGGGGAAAAACACTCCAAAAAGCTATAAAAAAACCCCAAGACCCATTAGAAATGGGAAAAAACCAAACAACAACAACAACCCCCCCAAGTGCATGATTCCATACATATAATTGGCCAAAAGAAGGACTTATTAAGACTGCCGGAACTTCCACTTTCAGTGCTTGTGCCTAAAGGAAAAAAAATTTGAGATGGGACTTATTTACAAAAAACAACAGTTGGGCAAATCCCTGCAAATAGTATATGGTTGGGACAGGTGGGTTTTATGCAAGCAAAGCAGGCATTTTCAATGAACATTTGATTGGGCAGACTTCTCTCTCCATTTTTCAAACAGACAGCAAAGGAAAAAAAATCCCAAAACAAAGAAACACACAACTATGGTTCTTAGCAAAGCAAAAGGAGTTGATAGATAGAAGTGTTGCAAAGCAGTCCACTTTCATGGAAGACCAAAAGGAAGTGAAAGAATCTCACTGAGGCCTTCTTAAATATGCAGAATGGAGATGTCTGTGTACGGACATTACCTAGATGTGCATCTGTGGTCACACAGACCATGAAGAAGAACCTCTAATTTAGAACGCAGTGCAAGTAACACCAAGGTTTTTCATTATCTCAGTTTTTAAATTCCATAGAAATATTTTCTCCTAAATATAAGTCCAAAATTCCTTAGTTTTTCTGTGCACATAAAAAAGTCAACAAGGCAGCTACCTGACTACAGAAAAAGAAATCATGCCAAGCAAACACACACTGACCCAAGTAAGAAAGGAGAGTGTTTCTGCTGCTAAATTTATACGCCCTAAAATATGTCAGAAAATGAGCTCTCCTTCCTTAATTTGAAGTTCATAGGTCCATCAGAATTTATGTCAGTGGGGTTTTATTATAAACATTCCTCCAGAGTCACAGACATTTTTAGAGTACTGCTTCCTGAAATAATTACTATTTAATATTAAAATACATGATAATATTGCTTTATTGGAAAGCATGTGCTGAAAATGTATGTTGAATGTGCCTCTTCATGTGATACTGATCTTTTCATATTACAAGTTCAACTGATCCTTTAAAAATGTTCCAGGCCTCATCCTGGTTCAAGCAGTCTAGTACCTCTCTTCCATTCCATACCATAAATCTCCACAGCGTTTTGCACACATTTAAAACAATTAGCAGGCCTCGTGCTCTGGAGAGGACACTCCAGCTTTGCATGCAGTGTCGAAATAACACAGGAAGTAGCAGTTACCGGTTATAAGTCTTTGCTCAATTGGCGTAGAGTGTGATGCCAGGAGCTATTTCCAATGGCGGGAGAGGTCATTGCAACTCATTAGGTACCATATTTTTCCATTTATAAGATGACCCAATGTATAAGACGACTCCTCCCCTTTTCCAACCCCAAATTAGAAAAAGCAGGAATCAAAGGGCTCCCTTTTTGCCAATTTCTGTGCCTTCGCAAAAGGCAACAAAAGCGGCTGTCAAAGTGACTGCCGCTTTTCCTTGCCTTTTGAGAAGGTACAGAGCTTAGAAAAAAGGAAGAGAGAAATGCCTCCTCGTCCTTTTTGCTAAGCCCCTTTTGAGAAGGCACAGAGCTTAGTAAAAAGTATGGTGAGGCACTTCTCTCTTCCTTTTTGCTAAGCTCTGTCCTTCTCAAAAGGCAAGGGTATGGGGCTTAGCAGAAAGGAAGCGGATGCATTTCTCTAACTAGGTCCACAAATAGGTAGAAATAAAGGAATTGGGAGATGCAATATATTATCTGGGGATTCAAATTGAGAAAGAGGCAGATGGTTCATATTTGTTGAGTCAGAAACAAAAGATACTTGAACTGTTGCATGTGCTGAATATGCAAGATTCCCACAGTGCTGCAACACCTATGCACACAGATTTTCTTAAAAATAAAGAGAAAGGAGAACCTTTACCCAACAATAGCCAGTATAGAGCAGCTATAGGGAAACTCTTGTACTTGGCAGCTACTGCGAGACCTGACATTACCTCTGCAGTAGGAATATTGAGCAGAAAAGTCAGCTCTCCAACACAGAGTGACTGGACAGCTGTGAAAAGAGTAGCTAGATACTTGAAAGGGACCATGGACTTTAAGCTAAGACTGCCAGCTAATGAGAACCCAAAACTCATAGGGTTAGTGGATGCAGACTGGGCTGAAGATAGTGAGGGTCCTAAGTCCACCAGTGGTTTTTCTCTTTTTGTATGGCAATGGTCCTATCTCATGGGGCAGTCGTAAACAGGATGTTGTAGCTTTATCTTCCACGGAGGCTGAGTTTGTTGCAGCAACAGAAGCATGCAGAGAACTGCTATGGCTGAAGAAACTGCTGATGGACATTGAGATAGATGGAGGAACGCCATTCCAGATGATGGAAGACAATCAAAGCTTCATCAAGCTATCGCAGGGAGAGAAGATGAACGCACGCACCAAGCACATTGATGTGAGATATGAGCTCGTCCGTGACCTGATCGAGAAGGGTACTATCCAGATACCTACCTACTGTCCAACCACGGAGATGACAGCAGACATCCTGATGAAACCTCTACCAACAGATCGCTTCCAGAACCTGCAAAGCATGATGGGACTTGTTGAAATAGAAATAGGAATAGGAAATAGAAATAGGAGACCTAGTTAGTGTTGGACACTGAATGTAGTCATGGTTGTGAGAGGCTGAAATTGTTGTATTGCCGTATGGATTTTTAGGATTCCTTGAACTGGTAGAAACGCTCTTGCTTGGATTGAGTCGAGTCTTGCTCCTATGTAATTAACGGTCTGAGATGGTATCAGATGAGATTTTTGTCAACTGATTTTCAAGCCGAGTCTATTTAGAGTGTTGAGTGTGGTATTGGTGGCTGTGATGGCGTCTTGGTAAGATTTCACAACCAGGAGCCAGTCGTCAATATAAGGGAAGATCTTTATTCCCTTGGTACAAAAATAATCCACTACAGGAGCCATGCATTTGGTAAATGTCCTGGGGGCTGTGGAGAGCCTGAAGGGGAGGGCAGCAAATTGGTAGACTGTGTGATGAAATTGGAATTGGAGGAATTTTTGATGAGACAGGTAAATGGAGATGTGGAAATAGGCGTCCTTTTGGTCAATGGTGACAAACCAGTTTGCCTGAGCTAGAAGAGGGAGTATGGAATCAAGCGTTAACATACGGAATTTTCTGTATATTATGTATTGATTAAGGTCTCTAAGCTCCATGATGGGTCTGACACCGCCATCTTTTTTAGGGACTGCGAAGTATTGAGAGAAGAAGCCCTTGTTTGAGTCAGAAGGTGGAACTCTGACTATTGCCCTCTTAAGGAGTAGTGATGAAATCTCCCGATGTAACAACATTGAGAATTGGGTGGTTTTGATGAAATTTGGTGGAGGGGCTTGGGAGAATTCTATTAAATAGCCTTTCTCTACAATGGTTAAAACCCATTTGATCCATAGTAATTTTGTGCCATTCTGGAAGGAATGGGAACAGTCTAGTTGGATTATGAAAATAATTAGGAGTATTGCTTACTCCTGCGCTATGGCTTGCGAAAGGGCTGTTTAGGACCTTGATATTGTTGCTTGAAAAGTGAAGGGTTGGACTGCAATGATTGGTAAGTCCGGTCATGTTGCTGTTGTTTACTGTACCGAAAGGGCTGGTACTGAGGATATGACGGGTAAAGAGTCTTTTTGTAAGCTGGTTTTTGGTACCTATACAGTTGGTAT